TTAGCATCTGCAATAGCTTTTAAAGGTTGGAAATACGTGTAACTGTTTTTTTTTGTCAGGTGAAATTCCTGCAGAATATTTTTTTAAAATTTTTGCAGAAACTTTTACAACACTCAATTGCAAATTTATGAATTTTTCCACAAAATTTATAATTTTAATCTCTGATATGAAGTCCTTCTTTTAAGCATTTCATCACATATTGCACAGTTCAATTGAATACAGTAAACTAATTTAACATTTTCCTTACTGATTTACCTCTTATGAAGACAAATAATCAAATTTGGTCTTTCTATTACGACCACAAGTCATTTTTAAATGATAAATTAAAATATTACGGAGTTAGAAAGGAAAAATTAAAATATAATTTTGCTATTATATGTTTGATACTAAATTGCTAATAAAGAAATAGAAAATTAAATGAAAAATAATTAAATAAAAAAAGCAATTGACGATAATTTTAATTCTGAGATCCAAAACATTTAAATCTACGATGACTTTCGTGGGGTAACATTTTTGTTACTATTTGATAAAAAAATTAAGTTTTGCTTTGTTTTTAAAATATTCCGTGCAGTTTTGCTAAGAATATATTATACATCTTATTATCAAATACCCATTGTGAAATATTCATTTTAATTATTGAATTTTTATTTCCTATTTCAATATAAGTTATCAGTGAGTGTGCACTTTTGGGAGCCACTGTAATTATTAAAAATTATTGATATATAATCACCTGAAACTTTTCTTAATGAAAATATATTAAACAATACTTACCAAGGTTTTATTGGTTACTCTGATTTAGTCATTTTGTAGGTACAATGTGAACGAATACTACTTCAAGTAACACATTAAATTCAATAAAAACAATTAAAATTATTCAATAAAAACAATATATTCTGCAAGCTAAACATATTATTTTATCCATGTCTTAATTTTTTAAAAATTAGTGTTGTACCAGAACATTGAAAAATAATAAAAAAATATCTTGTAAAAAAAATTGTTTTTTCAAGATATTCAAAATGTCATTTTTTTAAACATAAGATATTTTATAATACAGACACTTTTCTTGCATACATCCTACACTTTATAAGAAAAAAGGAGAAAAACACAAACCTGGAAATTTTAAGATTTTTACCTGGAAAACTTGGAAAAGTCAGGGAAATTTGAAATCTGTTTTGAGTGGGCACCCTGATGTTCTAATTGGAAATATTTTAGTTTTTAAATAAATTCATATTCATTCTCAATGTTTAAAAACTTTTAAATGATAACTTTGTTTTATTCTTTCCAGAGAGTCAGATCCTGGAAAGCAACACCTAGAAGAAATCCAGTCTTGTCATAGGTATGCTTTGAAAAAACTTTTAATGTGCATTTTTATAACTTATATTAAATCCTAAATTTACAATTTATTAAAATATTACATTTTATTTTTATTTGCTTGTTTAGTGAATCATATACTCTCTTATTTGGGGCCAATCCTTTGAATCGACCGAAACTTGATGCCAGCAAATTAGGTATTAAAATAGTTTTTGTTTTGATAACAGTTTTATGATTATTCATTCATACAAAGGTTTAAAATTTTTTTTACGTTATATTAAAACTAGATTACAATAAATGGTGAAACTGAACAGTTTATTGTTGCAAATACTTTTTTTAACAGTTTTTAAATTTCACCGAGATATACATTAAGTTTAAATTTAAAAAAAAAAAGGAACCAAATCATCCAATTCTTTTGTCTGTTTCAAGCAATTTCTTGTTCATATTTAACTTTAACTTAGCAAGATAAAAAATTAAATGAAAGATGAAACTTAACTATTTAAGCACTGTTTTACTTCTCTAATAACATTCTGTATCGGCAAACTATATGAGTTTAGAATATAAATCTTTTCTTTTTTTAATAAAGAACTACTTAACCTCTAACTGCATTGAAATACATTTCTCAGTTTAAATAGGTATAAAATTAAAGATTTTCAATTTAAGAAACTGAATAATATAATTATTTTATTTAATTGAAATTGTTTGTAACCCTTTTAATTTAAAATGGAAATTTTAAAAAAATGTTTAAAATCTAATTTTAATTTAATTTGAAACTTTTCTTTTACTTCAAATGACTTTTATAAGTTTATAATTTAATGATAATAGTAATTAAAAATAAAAGTTTAATATTTAATCAATTGCAGCTGATCATCCAATGAAGAATTTTGAACAAATAGTCTACTTTTTTTTCAATAAAGTATTTTATTTATTTGTAGAATGGTTTTGCTATAGTCCGTTCTCCTGGACATCATGCGGAACATCAACAAGCAATGTAAGTTTTTCCTTGAATGCATATCGCGTATAATAATAATGTATAAATATATAAATACATAAAATATAAAAAAACATATAAAACATATAAAAATATATAAAACATAAATATATAAATTTATAATAAATATAACAATATATAAATTACAATAAAAATATATTTTAACAGAAATAAATTGCATTTATCTTTAACCAAAATCAATTGTATTTATCTTTAACCAAAATGCATTTATATGCATTATGCATAATGCATTATGCATTTATATGCAGATATCTAATTAACCTGTTGCAATATTACAGTCATCACACTAACAAAGATAATTTATCGTGGTACATATTTTCTATACAATAAAATAACCTTTAATATTTATAATTATTTTGAAATTGTCTTAAATTCATGAAAGTATCAGAAAGAGTACCAGAGAGAGAGAAAAGTATCAGAGTGATAAAAAAAAAGTTATGCCATGCATGAAAAATCAAGAGTTTGGTCTCTAACGTAAAAAAATGCTATTAAAATAAAGGGATAATTCATAAATTAAAATTATAAAGGGAATATAATTTGAATTTAAGTGGGAATAAATTAATTAGGGGGCTTAGGGTAAGAGAGCGATTCTCATTTTCACATGGAGCCTTCTATTCAAGACAGGAAAAACAGTGGGATTGTTTCATGAAAAGAATTTTTTTACAGAAATGTTTTTCAAACTTTCTAGGAAATAAAAAAAAGGCAATTTCATACAAGACTATGACTTCAACCAGAAATTTAGTAATTGTCAACAAATTCTAGATACTGGTGGACTTTTCAAAAATAGCTTATATTAATCTTGAAATACTTTACTTTGTAAATAGTTTTTAGAGTTCATCATGTTTTGGTTCATGCATTTTTTTTTATCCAGTATGTAACTACAGAAATAATTTTTAAATTTAGCAAAAGTGATTAATGCCCTCATAAAAAGTTCAAAAATGTATTATAATATTTTAATTAGTTTATCAATCTATTTTCAATGTTTTACTAAATTCAAATATACTCAAAACTGTCTAGGATATATATGTGGAAATTGTTTTAATATTTTCTATCACAAAGCTAAACATTTTTAAAAAAGCTATAGCCTAGTTATAGCCTTTTTAAAAATAAATAAATAATAGTAAATAAGACATTTTCATTTACATTGCCCTTCAAAATTTTTAATATATTTCTATATTATTACTTCTCTATAAACTAAGATTAAATTTTTACACCAACATTCTTTAATATTACAGGGGTTACTGCTTCTTTAATTCTGTGGCAATTGCAGCGAAACAGCTAAGAGAAAAGCTGAAGCTTGAGAAGATACTCATTCTTGATTGGGTAAAATTTGTTTGTTAAACTAATGTTTTTGAAAAATATCTTTGTTGTGCTTATTTTAACAAGAAAAGTGAAACATCCAGGAAAGATCACCTCTATCTAGCGACCACATCTATTTACGACCACTTTTGGGAATCTGAAATTATCGACAGTTTATTCAAGCTGCTCATCATTCAGCGATAAACTTTATTGGTTTTTATAACATATGAGTTTACATAACATATGAGTAAAGCCCGAATTTTGATGAGATCGGCATTTTTTTTATTTTTCTTTACATTTTTATTTTACTTTATAACCGTCGTTGAACAGCTGACCCAAGTTTGCGTTTGCGACTACTGATGTTCAATTCCGTAGCCTTAAAGTTTCGAACCCAATCCGGAAACTAAGGGAACTTCTGGCTCAAGTATTGGGTGAAATGTGTCGTCGCGGAGGACTTTTTGATAGAACTAACCCGCATTTGCGTTACATGGAGAGGAAAACCATGAACATCTCCCACGGTTAACTTAATGGGTAGGGGACTCAAATCCATGATCCGTCTACCACTGATGATTTTTCACGTCAGCACTGTGGCCGGAGTTCGTATCAACCAGCCATCACTGGGATTCGAAAGCGGTTCACCTCATTGGAAGGCGAACTCTCTATCNAAGAGAAAAGCTGAAGCTTGAGAAGATACTCATTCTTGATTGGGTAAGATTTGTTTGTTAAACTAATGTTTTAGAAAAATATCTTTGTTGTGCTTATTTTAACAAGAAAAGTGAAACATCCAGGAAAGATCACCTCTATCTAGCGACCGCATCTATTTATGACCACTTTTGGGAATCTGAAATTATCGACAGTTTATTCAAGCTGCTCATCATTCAGCGATAAACTTTATTGGTTTTTATAACATATGAGTTTACATAACATATGAGTAAAGCCCGAATTTTGATGAGATCGGCATTTTTTTTATTTTTCTTTACATTTTTATTTTACTCTATAACCGTCGTTGAACAGCCGACCCAAATTTGCGTTTGCGACTACTGATGTTCAATTCCGTAGCCTTCAAATTTTGAACCCAATCCGGAAGCCAAGGGAACTTCTGGATCAAGTATTGGATGAAATGTGTCGTCGCGGAGGACTTTTTGATAGAACTAACCCGCATTTGCGTTACATGGAGAGGAAAACCATGAACACCTCCCACGGTTAACTTAACGGGTAGGGGACTCAAATCCATGATTCGTCTACCACTGATGATTTTTCACGTCAGCACTGTGGCCGGAGTTCGTATCAACCGGCCATCACTGGGATTCGGAAGCGGTTCACCTCATTGGAAGGCGAACTCTCTATCCCCTGAGCTTCCATGACTCTTTCGAAAAGTAATATTATTAATGACATTTTTACCACGATTATTGCATTGGATATTGGATAGATTGAGCGAAGTATTGATCGAAATCAAGTATTGAGCGAAATTTGCCTTCGAAGAGGACATTTTGAGGGAACTAACCCGCATTTGCATTACATGGCCAGGAAAGCCACAAAAATCTCCCACGGTTAGCCAGACGCGAGCGACCACTGAGAATATTTTAAGTCAGCATTGTGGTTGGCGCAAGCTGGAGCCGAAACTTGTATCGACCTACCATCGCTGGGATTCGAACCCGGTTTACCTCATTAGAAGGCGAACGCTCTATCACGAGCCATCCTGAGCCATCACGAGCCATGTTTTGCGTTTTTAGACACTTCTGCTAGTTCAGTGCATTTTTTGAAGTTTATTTTCACATTATTACTAGCTCATTTTTACAACGTTCACTCTTTTTAAGACCTGTAGACAGTTCTAGTTGCAAATAGTTTAGTGCCTTTATTTATTTAAAGTTTGTATAGAAGTACGGTGTGTTTATAAAAAAATGAAAATGTTTGTTTCTAAATTCGATTTTACAGTGCATCAAAATAGTTAACTTTTCCTTCGTTATTTTTGAATTAGTGAAAAATACATCTCATTTCACTTTAATATAAATGCTTGAATACAATTGAAATTTTAAGCTAGATGTATTTCAGATTTAATTTTTGTATTTAACTCTTGTACAAGGCAGAGATGCTAACTTGCTCCGGACAGCAAATATATATTTTAAAGTGGTAGTTTATCAATTGTGATTCTTGGTTTAATAAATTCAATTTAGTAGATTTTTATCCACCACTATTTATAAATAATTCGTAGGCTTATATAACTCACCAAGTTATAGTACTTATGTCATGCTATACCTTTTAAAAAGCAATCAAAAATAGTCAAATATTTTCAAAATTAACTTTGTAATTATTTACCGTTTTTTTAAAAATTATTTTGGCATGTCCGGAGCAGTTGGCATCTCTGACAAGGGATTTTTTAAATAGAAAAAACTAACTCAAATTTTAAAATTCTAATATTTATATGGGTCTGCCTGCCACTTTACTACTTTCGTGAGTTGTTTGTTGGCACTTCTACGTTAAATCATCAGAAAAAAATTGCATTCCTAAAAAACGAAAAAATTTTCCTAAAAAATAGTATATAAGACATGTTAACTCAATTCTGTGTTGGGACACCTTTTCATGGATGAAAGTTGACATTGTTGATAACATTTGTCTTTATGTAGTATATATCTAGGTAAAAATGTTATAATGATTTAAAATTATTCTCCATACAGAACACATTGGTATATAAAGAATGGAAATATTTTGTATGTAATCTGTCACCTCAACTACAATTTCCAAGGGGCCAAATGATTTTAAACTTGCAAATTTTTTTCAAAAAACATGTAGAGGTTGGTTACGAGCGATACCCTTTGAGTTGGTCCCCCTTTCTACCTTTTTTTTTCAGTTTCTTGTGGGCCACTACTTGTTGAAAATTGTCAAGACTTGGCGATTTTTTTTCCATTGATCACGATTCAGAAATCTTTCCCAAAAATTATTGATAAATACTCTAGATGCAAAACCTGCTGCTTTTAATACAAAGCATGAAGAATGTATCTGCTGTATTAAAAAATTTTGTAAAAAGCTTAGTAATGAGAGCATATTCCTATTGAAGCTAATTGATATGTTTAATTCATAATTTTTCCGGTTTCACAACTAGATGACTCCAATGTTTCTATTATTTAACTTCATGAATTGAAAACAAATAAAAAAAAATTTTATACTTAAAGAAATACATACTTCAATATATGTGTGTAAAAAAAACTGACTTTAGTTGATCATTTATAGGTATCTACATCAGGCATCATTTGGGAAAGCCCTTGTCTCGAACCTCTTAGTGCTCTTAGTCCGAGTGGAAGTCGTCAGGAAACGCAACCTCCTTCTCCTCATCAGGTGCAAACCTCTTTCTTCGAAGAATAACTTTATAAAAATTATATTAAAAACATTCTGGCTACTGCAGAGTAATACTTAAAAAAAAGAAAAACAAGCTATTGAAATCAGAT